TTATTATTATTATTATTATTATTATTATTATTATTATTATTATTATTGTTAACCTTTGATAAGATTCACAGCCTTTGAGGCTGGTTGATAGCTCAACAGCTCGAGTCCTAACCAAGGACCTAGGAACTGTTAAGGTAGCATCGGAGGATATAAGCTGTTCCAAGTAGGATGTGGGTTTTTTGTAGAGTCACGGTATAAATTCAGGATTTCCAAATAGCGAGGCAGCCCTTTAGGTATTGCTCCAAGGGCTCCAATTACAATTGGGATAACACATGATTTCTTTTTTCCAAAGTCGCTCAACTTCAATTTGTAAGTCCCGGTACTTTGTGATTTTTTTTTCTTGCTGCGTGTCCACAATTCGTGCATCACCAGGTCTTGCAATGTCAATGAACCAACCCTTTTTCTTTTCAACCATTGTTATGTCAGGCGTGTTGTGGGTCAAGTGCCTGTCAGTCTGAATTCTGAAGTCCCACAAGATCTTGAATTTTTCATTCTTCAAAATCTTCTCAACCTGACGTTCCCAGTAGTTGTTACCATACTCAAATCCAAACTTAGTTTCCAGTGAATGATTTTAACAACTCAGTTGTGGATGATGATGATGATGATGATGATGATGATGATGATGATGATGAATGTTATTGTTATTGTTGTTGTTGTTATTTTACATTTACTTTCAATGTTGCCTTTGGAAGGCAAGCTCACAGCATGAATGGTAATAGCGATAGCATTTAGACTTACATACCTCTTCACAGTGCTTCACAGCCCTCTCTAAGAGGTTTACTGTCAGCAAATTTCCCCCCACAATCTGGTATGGCATTTTATTGACCTCGGAAGGAGGGAAAGCTGACTTAATTTTGAGCTGGTCAGGATTGAACTCCAGACTGCAGGCAGAGTCAGCCTGCAATACTGCATTCTAACCACTGAATGTTCTGACCCAGCCTTAGCAGAAACAAGAAACAGACTCCTATCATGAAAAAACCCTCTTTATTTATCTCCTGTGAATTAATGGCGTTCGCCCACCGAAAAGGCCCAGCAATAGTCCTTCAAAGAGTTAATGGTAGCAACAAACCCTATCAGTTCCTTGCTAGAATTGCAAGGCCGTGAGCTCCCAGCCAAAATGCTGCAAATTAAGTTCTGGCAAGCGGTCTCTGTGGCCTGAAACACAATGACCAAAACTGAACTATTGTCTCCTACAACAACCCCTCCCCTTTCCTTCTATTTATCCCCCAGCCAGGGAGATGCCATTCAGTATCCACATGTGCTTTGCTTCCCAAGTCGACTCCTTGTACTCCATTGTTTCCCTCTCCTAACAGTTCTGCACATACGTGCATCTGGAACAGGCCCCAGCTGCTCCTCCTCCCCACTCATATCAGCCTCCAAAGGCAGCTGCCTCTTTGGTAGCTGGGAAATGTCAGAAGGCGCTGGCTATTTCTCCGCGTTCGACACAGAGCATCCATCAGAGACTTCCCCAGACTCCAGGACTGGCCAAGTTTCTTCCCAACTTTCTTATCATCTGTGTCTGCTGCTGGTAGCTGGCAGACAACAACACTGTGCCAGCAGGGCTGATGCAATATCCAATCACCTGCAGCAATAGCACTTAGACTTATATACCATGTCACAGTGCTTCACAGCCCTCTCTAAGTGGTTTACAGAGGCAGCCTATTGCCCCCCCAAATCTGGGTCCTCATTTTACTAACCTTGGATGGATGGAAGCCTGAATCAACCTAGAGCCATTCAGCATCGAACTGCTGAACTGCTGGAAGCTGGCAGTCAGTAGAAGTAGCCTGCAGTACCACATTCTAACCACTGTGCCACCACGGCTCTTATAACTAATGGAGTTAGTTCTAGGGAGAAGAGAAAACAAAGATGACTTTGTGATATAAATAAGCCCAAATCCATAATACAGGATCGCAAAGAGGGGAAGAACAGATAACAAAACTGGATGGTAAAAATCCGGAAAGGGATTTTTTTTTTAAAAAAAAAAAAGAGATTGCATTAGCAGGTACTTTGCTAAAATAACACTTAATGAGAGGAGAAGACAGATAAAAAAAAAAAGAGCCCATCGTGGAAAATGAGGTTGAAAAAAACTATAGTTGTGATTCACAGCTGTGGTGAGATTTTCAACCCACCTTTCTCATACTTTTTAAGGGATTTTCCCCACCTCATTTTTCAAGTGGAATCGCACCAAAAGGAGACTTTGAGTTTGGCTGTGGAGACTCTTCCTGTTTCATTCCAAATGTTCATCATTGTTCTGTAGAGTGGTGGGATTCAAACACTTTTTACTACCAATTCTGTGGGCGTGGCATAGTGGGCGTGGCTTGACTTGGTGGGCGTGTGTTATGATATGTACAGAATAACCCTTGAGTAACAAGGATATGCACATGGAAACGTTTATGAGAGTAGTTATGAATAATTATTCAGCCACACACAGATACACTGAATTGAGTTAAAATTTACTTTAAGAAGTAACACAGTCCAATAAAGTCCAGGTCACATACATTTTACAGTCCAAGGAATATCCAATTACAAAGTCTTCTTACCGGTTGCCTTTGTCATTTCCAGTAAACAAATATCAAAGTATAAGCACAGCATAAATACAACAGAGAATCTTAGATAGCAACAGAATGTCAGAGAGAACAAGCTATAATCTCTAGCTCCCTCTTATGGTAACTTGCAATATAATCAGCCAATCGGAATATAGTATAAATCAATACAGTGATTTTGTCTTAAAGCTACAAACATACATTGTTGGTTCATATATTGCCAACCCAATTAATTGGTGGACAGATTCCTAACAGTGTGGCAGGGGAAGGATACTGCAAAGTCCCCATTCCCTCCCCACCCCACTAACCTGCTTTCCAGCTCCGTTCTCCTATGCAGGGCAACCAAAGAAGACCCAGCCGATCAGCTGGGACTCAATGGGAGGCAGAGAAGAGATGGGGGTGGAGCCAGTCAGAGGTGGTATTTACTGGTTCTCTGAATTACTCAAAATTTTCGCTACTGGTTCTACAGAACCTGCTGAATGCCACCTCTGGTTCTGTAGTGTGACCCCATTTTCTGCACTATATTGACTAGGACTGGAGGAGAGAAGTGGGATTTATGACCTCACTAATGGTTGAAAGAATTCCCGGAGTGACCACCAAAATGTATCGGGTTGCATCCATAGGTAGTCCTCGACTTATGACCACAATTTCTTTTGCTAAGCGAGGCAGTCCTCGAATGAATTTTCCCCCATTTTAGACCTTTCCTGCCTCAGTTCTTAAGCAAATCACTGCAGTTGTTATGTTAGGCACACAGTCATTAAATGAATCTGGCCTCCCGCATTGACTTTCCTGGTCAGAAGGTCCAAAAGGGATTGGATCAATTGATCAAATCAATTGACCCCGGGACAGTCCTACCATCGTAAATATGAGTACGTTGCTAAGAGTCTCAATTTTGATCACATAACCATGGGGAGGCTGCGATGGTCAAAAGTGTGAAAAATGGTCATAAGTCGCTTTTTTTCCAATGCCATCGTAACTTCAAATGGTCACTAAATGAACCATTGTAAATCGAGGAGCAGCTGTAGAATGAAGACATGCCTTTCTGCTGTTTTGCTTCTTGTGTAGGCAAGACAACACTTGAGTCCCATTGCTTTAGCTCTGGTCTTTTCAGGATCATATAATCATAGGCTGATTAGGACCTTAGAGGTCTTCTAGTCCAGCCCTTTATTCTTAAAGCACCCCAGACACAATCTTTTCTTGAGAAACTCCAGGAGGCCACCTTTTCCATTACAGTGGTGGTATTCTACCGGTTCGGCCTGGTTCACATGAACTGGTGGTAAAAAAATAAATGTTACCATTCGGCTGAACTGATAGTAGTTCAGCAGAACTGGTATTTCTTTCTTTCTTTTTCCTCCTGACGATCAGCTGTTCTGATGATCAGCTGTGCTGGGATCCCCCTCACTGTCTTACTGCTTTGCCCAGGAGGCTTCCCTGAAAACGAGGAGGCAAAAAAAAAATGGAGCATGGGAGGAATGCTGCAAAAAAAAAGAAGAGGCCATGTGACCTAGCCACACCCACAGAACTGGTAGTAAAAATATTTGCATCCTACCACTAATCTAGTCCAACCCCTCACCCAAGCAGGAGACCCTACACCATTTCTGACAAATGACAGTCTAGGCTCTTCTTGAAAGCCTCCAGTAATGAAGCTCCCACAACTTCTGTTCCACTGGTTGACTGTTCTCACTGTCAAGAAATTTCTCCTTAATTCGAGGTTAAATCTCTCCTCGATCAGTTTCCATTCATTATTCTTTGTCTGGCCTTCAGGTGCTTTGGAAAATAGTTTGACCTCTTCCTCGTCTCTGTGGTAGTCCCTCAAATATTGGAATATGCTATTCTGTCTCCCCTGGTCCTTCTCTTCTCTAGACTAGCCAGGCCCAGCTCCTACAATCGTTTGCCGTATGTTTTGTCCCCTAATCATCCTGGTTGCTCTTCTTTGCAACCTTTCTAGACCTCTTTTTTTTTATAGTGTGGTGACCAAAACTGGATGCAGTACTCTAGGTGTGGTCTTACTAAGGCTTTATAGAGTGGTATTAGTGCCTCCCTTGATCTCAATTGTATCCTTCTGTTAATGCAGCTTAGGATTGCGTTGGGGTTTTTCTTGGCTGCTGCCGCACAGAACTGGCTCATATTTAACTGATTGTCCATTGATTAATTGTTCTCATGGTCAAGAAATTCCTTCCTATTTACAGCTCTCCTTCTGATGACCTTCCACCCATTATTTCTTGTCCTCACCTTGATGGTTGGGAGCTGCCTATGTAGTGCCGATGCACTTTGGAGAGCGACTCGATCCTTCTCTTGCTTTAGGATGTGATGGCTGATGTCATTTGTTTTCCCCCTGTGCCAATTCTCAGGTGGATGGAATCCTTGGTCAACGTGGGGCGAATGCACCAAGGACTGTGGAGGTGGCCTTCAGACTCGGACCCGAAGTTGTCAACCTCTTCCCGAGGAAGGTCTTGTTTGTGAAGGAGTCTTGGAAGAAGGAAGATTGTGCAATAGGAAAGCTTGCAACCGTAAGTAACCATGGCTTCTGAAGGAATCTCATAGCAGGTTCTCTTGTCTCTGTCCATCAGGGATAAGCCCAACAAGAGGCACCTGGACTTTCTGGGTTTTTTTTTTTTTTTGAAGATGTTTCGCTTCTCACCCAAGAAACTTCTTCAGCTCTGACTGGATGGTGGGAGAATGGAAGGATTTATATTCCTTGCAAACAGTTGGTCATTTGCATTCTTTTTAGAGATTCATTGAGACCCCTTGTAGTTTTATCTGTGTCCTCAGGGTCACCTGAGTAGTGCAATTGGTTCCTGTAGTCTGCAATTTTTGGAAATCCATTCAAAATCACACTTCCACAGAATTCCAAAAAATTGCAGGCTACGGGAACCAATTGCACTACAAAGGTGACCCCAAGGACACAGATAAACCTCCAAGTGGCCTCAACAACTCTCTAAAAGGATGCAAATGACCAGCTGTCTGCAAGGAGTATTAATCCTTCCATTCCCCACCCACCCCCCAGTCAGAGCTGGAGAAGCTTCTTGGATGAGAAGCAAAACGTCTTCAAAGAAAAACCAGAAAGTCCAATTGCCTCTTAAAAAAAGCACTTTGGGGACAATCATGACCTGGATGACTAAGAATCTCCATAGACAGAAAGTTATTTGTTTAAACCAACTCATACAATTTGGAATGCAAAGATCTCAGTGTAGGTACTTTCTATGAGAGCAACAACATTGTTCAGAATAAGGATGGTTCAGAATCTATTTACAATTTTGACCTCCTTCACTGCAGACATTCATCTGTTCTTCACACACTCATGGTGTGTAGTTTTGGTCATCATGATAGGAAAAAACAACAACTCGAGACTTGGAAAAAGTACAGAGAACAGCAACAGAGATTATTAGGGGGCTGGAGGCTAAAACATATAAAGAAGGGTTGCAGGAATTGGGTATGTGTAGTCTAATGAAAAGAAGGACTAGGGGTGACATGATAGCAGTGTTCTGATGTATCAGGGGCTGCCCCAAAGAAGAGGGAGTCAAGCTACTTTCCAAAGCCCCTGAGGGCAGGACAAGAAGCCATGGATGGAAATTAATCAAGGAGAGAAGCAACCTAGAACTAAGGAGGGATTGGGTATGTCTAGTCTAGAGAGAAGAAGGACTGGGGTGACACGATAGCGGTGTTCCAATATCTCAGGGGTTGCCACAAAGAAGAGGGAGTCAAGCTATTCTCCAAAACATCTGAAGGCAGGACAAGAAGCAATGGATGTAAACTAATCCATGAGAGAAGCAACCTAGAATTAAGGAGAAACTTCCTAACAGTGATTACAATTAACCAGGGGAACAGCTTACCTTCAGAAGTTGTGAGTGCTCCAACACTGGAGGTTTTTAGGAAGAGATTGACAATCATTTGTCTAGAATGGTATAGGGTCTCCCGCGTGAGCAGGGGGTTGGACTAGAAGACCTCCAAGACCTCCCTTCCAATTTTGTTGTTCTGTTAATCTCTCTGTATCTTACATTTGCCATTCCTATTGCTGAGCAAGACAACTAGACAAACAACGAGTGTGCCATCATTGTAAGAGCCTCGTGGCTTGTATGCAATTTTTTTAAAAAAAAATTGGAATTATTGTGATTGAATATGGGTGCTGTTCTGAACAGCTCCCCATTCGCATTCCAACTGTTTGCTCTCTTCTTAAGCCCAAAGGGATTTATGTTCTTCAGCTACCGATTATTTATGTATTAATTCATAATAAATGCTTGCATTTATTACAATCTTGAAGTGTGCAAGCATGTTTCCCCAGAGGTAATTAGAAGTAATTAGGTACAGAAAAGCAAGCCAAAGATAAATGTAAAGCTGTAGATGTAACCTCCCCCCACCCAAACTCCAATCTAGAAGAGAGCAAGGGAAAATATATATCTATTGGATAGGAAAATCTTGGTTGTGGATCTCAGCTGTACACCAATGGATCAGACAATATCCTCCTGCTCACTTGGAAAGGCCATAATGGAATCTCAAAAATGCTTCTTGGTGCACCACAATTGGGAGGTGAGACTCTAGGGCATTGATTAATGATGGGGAGGTGTTTTAGTCTTTTTGTTTCCTGTTTGGCTTTTTCATTGTCTCTTTTAAATGGTGTGCAGATGTTGTTTATCTCTATGTGCCAGTTGATGGCTGATTTCTTTGAGTACCAAGCTTTCAGGAATTCTCTAGCATTTTTGAATTGACCTTGGACAAGGATGCTTACAGTTTCCCAGTTGTTGCTACAGTTAAATGTTTCCATGTGTTGTGAATTTAAAGTGTTTTCTCATGTCTTCTGACTGCTAGTTGGTGTTCATGGATATTTATGTCTCTTTGGAATGGTGTGTAAAAGTATCTCTATGTGTCCATTGATTGACAATTTCTCTTTACATAGAGAATGGACTGTATTAGCTGACATTCCCAAGCTTAGTTTCCACAACTGCTTTTGGTGGTCTTCAGTTTAACTGAAGATTAGAAAGGAAGTTTAGAGGACTGGATGTATAAAGAATACTTCTAAGAATTGGGTATAATTGCCTTTAATGAACAGAAGGACTAGGGGTGGCATGATAACAGTGTTCCAATATTTGAGGGGCTGCCACAAAGAAGAGGGGGTCAACCTTTTATCTCAATTACCTGAAGGCAAGACAAGAAACAATGGATGGAAACTAATCAAGGAGAGAAGCAATCTAGAATTAAGGAAAAAATTCCTGACTGTGAGAACAATAAATCAGTGGAACAACTTGCCTCCAGAAGTTGTAAATGCTCCAACCCTGGAAGTTTTTAAGAAGATATTAGATAGTCATTTGTCTGAAAATGGTATAGGGTTTCCTGCCTAAGCAGGGGGTTGGACTAGAAGACCTCCAAGGTCCCTTTCAACTTTGTTATTCTGTTACTGTATTCTGCTAACTGCCAGAATGTATATGAACTCTAATAAATTCAGTATGAATATGGTCTTCCCAGCCAAGGACAGCTGATTTGTCTATCCATGGGAGAGAAAATGAATGCCTTCCCCAATTTTACACTTTGTTTGGCATTTCCATAATGTTAAATAAGAGGAAATCTTAAAATGGAAAGTTTCTACCACATTAAGCCTTTCTTCATCTTGTTCACATTGACTAATTTGGCTGGACACCCAAGCAAATTCTTCCGCAAGTTTCTCTTTGATGCTTGCTTAGCACAAGGCCCGTTTCCCTTTACATCTCAAAAAGGCCAGACCTGAGTGAAGTCATGAGATAAACTGATAATTTTGTCCAATTCCTAATTTTGTTGAAAATTATAAACACTTATCATTGTCTATGGGGGTAAGACAGTTAGGGTTCAAACAGGGTTTTTGATGGGGGGCACCTTTGGAATCGAAAGATTCAAAGAGAGAATCAACCTAGAATAAAGGAGAAATTCCTTCTTCAAAGGAAAAAAAAAACAACCTGCCAGCTCCTAATTAGCAAAGGCATCAACATCTTATCTGTGGTGGAAAGTTTGAGGTTGGGTGACCAAGAATTGGTCCCAAGCTTTGAACAATGGAAAAAAAAGATGTGAACCCTCTGCCAGTTAGAAGGGGGAGCCGATAGATGGCCTCTCTTGGACCTTCCCTTCCTTGCCCGCTTTTTCAGCATGTCGCCTTTTCTCCCATCCCAGTTTCTCCCAGTAGCTCCTCTGGGGTAGGACTCTGGAAGTACAAAACCTAGGGAAGGACTAGAACATACAGACTCCTGGCCTCTGGCCTGGAGCTTTCACCATTAGGCCAATAATTTTAACATATTTCTTTAAAATTATAGCTAACTATTCTATCTCTAACCATCCATCCATCCATTATCTATCTGTCTGTCCGTCTATCTATCTATCTATCTATCTATGGAAATTAATCAAGGAGAGAACCAGCCTAAAACAAAGGAGAAATTTGTTGAAAGCGAGAACACTTAATCCTTGGAACGACTTGTCTCCAGAAGTTGTGAATTCTCCAACACGGAAGGTTTTTAAGAAGAGATTGGACAACCATTTCTCTGAAATAATATAGGGCTGCCTGCTTTGCGGAGAGTTGGACTAATAGACCTCCAAGGTTCCTTCCACTTTTTTCTGATTAATAATGGCACTCCTTGGAATCAAAAGATTCGAGACAATCAGCCGAGAACTATGGAGAAATATTCTGACAGTGAGAACAATCAATCAGTGGAACGGGTTGCCTTCAGAAGTTGTGGAAGCTTCATCACTGGAGGCTTTCAAGAAGAGACTGAACAGCATTTGTCTGAAATGATACAGGGTCTCCTGCTTGAGCAGGGGGTTGGACTAGAAGACCTCCAAGGTCCCTTCCAACTCTGTTATTCTGTTACTGTATTCTGCTAACTGCCAGAATGTACAGCTCTCTTCTGATTGATTGATTGAAGTATAACTGTAGGGCCATCACCATGTCACTTCTTGTGTTTTTGGCATTTAAATCTACAGCGTGTCCTTCCCATTTATACTTCTGTTTTAATTTCATTTTTTTTTCCAAACGCCATCTTTGAGGTCAGCCTGTTGCCAAGTTTTCCCATTTATGATTTGATCTTTCAGCGAGATTTGTAGCATACATTTTTTTTCTCTCTCTCTCTCTCTGCATGCGGCATGACTCAGAGCTTCTCTGCATCTGATCTCCATCGGTTCTCTACTTCGGAAGGACTCGTATTTTATATCTGCCTTTTTTATGGGAAGAAAAATGAAACTTTAGCTTCTCCACACTGGGCCTTTCTCGAGCAAGAAAGGGAGCCATAGCTCGGGACAGTCAAGGAGAGGAGGGTGAAAAAAA